TTGTGATGGCAACTGTAAGTTTGATTTTGATTTTTTTAATAGACAGCATTTTACTTTTGTGCTCCCCTGTTGCTTTAGCGCTGCATTTTACATTCCTTTTCTATCTGTTAGAATGAAAATAACTCATTAAAATTAAAAAAAGGGGGCCAAAGCTGCAGCTGGTGTAAATTGCTGGAGTGCTGTGGATGCCAGCTCGCTCCAGCTGAGATCTGGCCTTACATAACCTCATTTTAAGGCTCTGCTCAGGCAGCCTCTGCTGCACGCCTTCCAGCCGAGCAGTTACACATGTCCTCATTTCCTCCCTTCCAAGGAGTGAGCTTTTAATCTGTAAACACCCTCTAGTGCATAAGGGTCATGGCCCCTTGCAAGAGTTAGCAGGAGTGCCTGTGGAGGAGATGGCAGGAGAATAAGCCATTCCACCTTGCTCCATCCCACCCCTCTTCTTACAGGATTGAACACCAGGGAGAAGGTTGGTACACGGGATGGGTGACAGGGATGGTGTGCCTTGCTACCATGACACCCAGAAACCCACCTGGAGTACTATGTTCAGTTCTGGGGGCCCCAACAAAGGAAGGACATGGAGCTGTTGGTCAAGAAGAGTTTCCCTACCTGGAATTGTTGGCAGTGGTTTGAGTACCCCAAGTCCTGTTCCTTGTCATCTTTCCATAAACTTATACAAGCAAACCAGGCAACTTCAAGGCCTGTTCATAATCGTAACCTGAGCGGGGTTCAGGACTCCACAGGTACTAGCAATCATTCCCAATACTGAGCCTGAACCTAGTTTTGGAGGATGAGAGAGCTCATTTCTGTGGTCAGTCTTGGCCTATTGCCTTCAGGAAAAGTGATCAGGTCCTTGTTTGTTGTTGACTATTGTAGATACAGTCTGAGTTTCCCAACTTTGGTCAGCTTGTACTTGTGTGAGACAGTCCATCAGGACTCTTCTGTCCTCAAAACGTAGCCCAGGGCCTGTGTTGATGTGCCTTTCCATGCTCCTGGAACCCTCTTACACATCAGCATCCTCTTCATTTCAAGCCAGTCTGTTGCCTGAGGCATCCTCCTACACTTTCTGCTGGTGATATTCAGAGCCACCTCTGTAAATCAAACAGTGCCAGGCACAGGCACAATTCTGTAATAGTTCACCCTGATACATTTTTAGCACAGACTCTGGCAATTTTGGCCAACTAGCATGGACATAGCCACGTGGAGTTGAGTCATGCCAGCTGGCCAAGGACAGAGGCTGCTTTGTTTAATGGTATAGACTGAGCCTCTGACTCCATAATCCTATCTCTGGACATTTCTTTTATAGTCCTTGCTGAGCCAGCTGAGCAGCCTCCGTCATCCAACCTGAATCACATTTTTCCATTGCACTTAGGGTGGGAGTTCTTTTACAGTAGAAGCACCTCCTTTTCTTCCAGCTGGTGGCATCCTGGGGTTCTCTCCAGAGGTTATTTGGCCACATATCTGGAGCCAACAGCTTTGGCTCCTTTAAAACCTGCTTTGGCGCAGGGACAGCGGTGACTTTGCCCCGTGCAGTTGGTGTGTTACTGCAACACACGTAGTAAATAAGCATGAGGGTAATTATGCCAACAGGAATTCTGGGAAGCCTGCCAGAATGGAGGGGACAGCCAATCCTTTGTGCATGTAAAGAAAATCGCTCCGAATCCCCCTCCCAACCCCAAATTAGTTCTATCTCTTGAAGCCATGATGGGGCTTAGAACTAAAAATACACGGGTACTCACAAATACACAACCTCGTATATAAAAATAGCCAGCATTCAAGAAATAAAAAGCCCCAAGTTAGGCTCCTGTATCCAAAATTAAGCTCTTAAATAAATAAATTAGCCTGATTTTCAGAAGCACAAAGCGGTGAATGGCTTTCACTGACATAAGAGGAAGAATCGTGTTGCTAAAGATTGAGGATCAGGCCTGAGTATGGATTTGAAAGTCTAATTATAGAATCCTGTTTGCTACCAACTTGACCGAGAACAACAAATTTCAGGTGAAATGACATTGATTTTTTGGTGTGTTTTTTTTTTCCTTTGGAGTTTGTCTACACTTAACCAGTATTAGTAAAGGCAGGAAAAAGCCCTGAAACAAGTAAAGAAAATAGCACAAAGAAGGAGATAGACTGGAAGAAAACTGTTTACAGCACTGCTGTGCATTCGTGTTTGAAAACAGAGTTAACCATTGCAATGTTACAGCTGGGTGAAGTCTTGTATTGATTAATTAGGCAGGTATTTATTAGTTATTGAAAGCCTACTAGGTAGCTGAAATTATGCCAGGCTGTTCCCAAGGTCATAATCCCATGTGGCAGTTGGATAAGGACAGTTGGGTATGTCCTGCTAGGTCATCCAGCACAAGTCAGATTGGGCAGAGTTGGGCTTCATGGTATCTAGGAAGTATGTCCATCCTGGATGGAGAGCTACCAGCAGGCAGAGGCTTAGGACAGCAGCAAATGGCCTGGGTTCTGATGCCAGAAGACTTTGGGAGAGCCCTTGTGGTGCTCTATGACTCAGTTTCCCCATCAATGGAGGGGGCACAATGCAGTTGACCTTTGCAAAAGTCTGTGGGCTCAACAGTCAAGAGAATTTGGTGTTACTGTCATTGCCATTGTTCTCTCCATTGATGGAGATGGGAGCCTTAGAGGTTTTGAAGTGGAGCAACCTGGTCCAGTGGAAGGCATCTCTGCCCATGCAGAGAGGTTGGAACTAGATGATCTTTAAGGTCCCTTCCAACCCAAACCATTCTGTGGTTCTATGATTAGGGCATTACATTAATCCAATGCATTTCTATGTGTCATGCCTCCATGAATAGGTGGCATGTCCTCTCACTGTGGCCAGTTAGAAACATGCATTATTAAACTGTGGATAGTGCTGAATCAAGGAGAAATCATTGTGGGACATGGTGTCCCTTCTGTTAGTTTCTTCTTAATCCTTTTGAGCGACTCACTGTCATTGTTATAGGTTGGTTCTGCCAACCTGGAGTGCTCAGAAAAGTAAAGGGAGTCTTAAAAATAATAAAAAACTGAGGAGAGCGTGTGTTTTTTTTTTCCTTTGGAGTTTGTCTACACTTAACCAGTATTAGTAAAGGCAGGAAAAAGCCCTGAAACAAGTAAAGAAAATAGCACAAAGAAGGAGATAGACTGGAAGAAAACTGTTTACAGCACTGCTGTGCATTCGTGTTTGAAAACAGAGTTAACCATTGCAATGTTACAGCTGGGTGAAGTCTTGTATTGATTAATTAGGCAGGTATTTATTAGTTATTGAAAGCCTACTAGGTAGCTGAAATTATGCCAGGCTGTTCCCAAGGTCATAATCCCATGTGGCAGTTGGATAAGGACAGTTGGGTATGTCCTGCTAGGTCATCCAGCACAAGTCAGATTGGGCAGAGTTGGGCTTCATGGTATCTAGGAAGTATGTCCATCCTGGATGGAGAGCTACCAGCAGGCAGAGGCTTAGGACAGCAGCAAATGGCCTGGGTTCTGATGCCAGAAGACTTTGGGAGAGCCCTTGTGGTGCTCTATGACTCAGTTTCCCCATCAATGGAGGGGGCACAATGCAGTTGACCTTTGCAAAAGTCTGTGGGCTCAACAGTCAAGAGAATTTGGTGTTACTGTCATTGCCATTGTTCTCTCCATTGATGGAGATGGGAGCCTTAGAGGTTTTGAAGTGGAGCAACCTGGTCCAGTGGAAGGCATCTCTGCCCATGCAGAGAGGTTGGAACTAGATGATCTTTAAGGTCCCTTCCAACCCAAACCATTCTGTGGTTCTATGATTAGGGCATTACATTAATCCAATGCATTTCTATGTGTCATGCCTCCATGAATAGGTGGCATGTCCTCTCACTGTGGCCAGTTAGAAACATGCATTATTAAACTGTGGATAGTGCTGAATCAAGGAGAAATCATTGTGGGACATGGTGTCCCTTCTGTTAGTTTCTTCTTAATCCTTTTGAGCGACTCACTGTCATTGTTATAGGTTGGTTCTGCCAACCTGGAGTGCTCAGAAAAGTAAAGGGAGTCTTAAAAATAATAAAAAACTGAGGAGAGCTGGTGGGGACAGCAATGCAGAAGAATAGGGGTCTAGAAAATACGACCTGCTAGAAAGGGCTGAAAAGAAATTGGGTTGTTTTTCATCTGGACAAAAGAAGTCTGAGGGTTTACATGGTAACCATGTGCAAACAGGTAAAAGTTGGGTGCAGGGTGAAAATTAATAGATTCCTCTCCTTGTCTGTGGCTGGGATAGTGATAAATTAGTGGCTTATCCGTCAGAAGAGGAGTTTAGGTTTCATGTACTAGAAGGAACGGGAGCTCCTGGGTAGGTTTTTAGACTTCAGGACAGATTTGGTAAACATGTCCCTGGGAAGAGTTTCCCTGAGGTGATGCAGCCTTTGCCCAGGGGCAGCACCTTCTAGGCGTCCTGTGTTGCTGATGCTCTAAAAGCCACTTGCGTGATCCTTTTCTGTGCTTAGTCCTTGAGCCATTAGAGTTCACTCCTCCCAACTTCTGCCTTTCCAGCTAAACTGCACCTACTTCAGGTTTTGCACGCCTGAAGGGAAGGCAGGATTCCCGTGTCATCCTGCAGTCTCCGGGGTCGGTGCTTCCAGGGAAACGCTGCATCCAGGCCTTGAGCTGTTGGGGGAATGGAAGCAGGACTGGTGTCCGTGGGCATTTCCATCCTGCTCAGGCTCTACTGGGATGTCACACCAGTGTCACCAGTGTCCTGTGCGGCCGGTGCAGCATTTTTCTCGAGCGTCGAGCCCCATCTGGTGGCTTTCCTGCGGCACTTTTGGTGTCCTTGCTTCTTTCGGGATCTTTCGCCCTGCCTGCTTGCGAACTGCAAGCGGGGGGGAAGGACAAGGTGCCTGAGGAAGGGCAGGGCGAGCGGAGCCACCTCTGCCTCCGCCCCAGCTCCCCGTCCCTGGGGGTGATTTGGAAATGCAGAGGCTGTCGGGGCTTGTGTCCCTTCCTCCTGCGCTTCCTTGCTCTGCAGCCTCGCCCGAATGGCAAGGAATGATCTAATCGTTTTGACGAAAGCCCAGTTCGTGCTGTGAGCCCCTCCCAGAGCCTACAGAATGCACTTCGTCCCGCTGTCCTGCTGGCATCTGAGGTGGGACAGATGAACGGTCCCAGGAGGGGATATTTCTGTCCATTGACTAACCCGGATGACTAATTTCAGGGTTGGCATTAGGTGAAATTATTCACATCCCAAATTTCAGAGCACAAGGTTACAGCCACCACTCAGAATCAGAAGGAAGAAGACCCAATATTAGTTCATTAATGTCAGAAAGCATTAGAAAGGAGCCTGCTGTAGATACTTTATTTCTGAAATACCACGTGTCCTGGGACATCTGGGCACCTTGTGCTCCCCTGACTTGATCAGCTCCCTTTACAAAGGTTCCCTCAAGGGAAATTGTGTCCCCAGGGTGAGCTCTGCAGGGTTCCTTTCACACCTGATAGGAAAACCTGATAGGGGATGGAGCAGTACCTGTCTATGCATGAGACACCTCCTTCTAGTCCAGTGTTGCCCAACATCTCAATAGGCAGCCAGTGGCAAGCTGTGGCCTTTTGCATTTGTGGGTCACTCATGTGCTGAAGGTAAAGGTGGTGTCTCATTGCTCCACCTGTGATGACATGGGGCAGAGCTCTGGGGTCTGTGAAAGAGGCTCCTTGCTGGGGTGCTGAAGGGGCTGAGACAATCTTACAAGCTGTGGCTGAGGGAACTGGGATTGTTTAGTTTCAGGGAGGCTGAGGGGAGACCTTCTCACTCTCTACAGCTGCCTGAAAGGAAGTTGGAGCAGGGTGGGGGTCAGTCTCTTCTCCCAAGTAACGAGTAATAGGACAAGAGGAAACGGCGTCAAGTTGTGCCAGGGGAGGGTTAGATTGGATATTGGGAAAAATGTATTCACTGAAGAGGTTGTCAGGCCCTGGCCCAGGCTGCCCAGGGCAGGGGTGGAGTCCCCATCCCTGGAGAGATTTCAGAGCCATGTAGATGTGGCACTGAGGGGCATGGTTGAGTGGTGGCCTTGGCAGTGCTGGGTTGACAATTGGACTTGATGTGGGGGGATGTCCCCGGGCCCCCCCAAGCTCCAGCTGTGGGGATCCTCGGGGACCTCCCCGGCTGCTGGAGGCAGGAGGTTTAAAGAGGCTTTGGGCTTTGAGAAGGGGCCAGTTCACAAGGCGATGGGATTTTTCACAGCCCCAGCCCCAGCCGTGCCTGGACTGGATCAGTCCACCTGGGTAGGATTTAAAGCCTTTAGGAAGTGGTTAAACACCCCTTTTTGGGGACAGAAAACCAAAGCATGTGCAGAGTCATCCCCGGGTCTCCTGGAGCTGGAAAAAGGCTGCAGAGCTGGGGGGGGGGTCCATCAGGGACCCTCACATAGTATCCCAGACTGGTTTCCATTGGAAGGGACCTTAAAGATCATCTAGTTCCCACCCCAATGCCAAGGGCAGGGGCACCTCCCACTGGACCAGGTTGCTCCAAGCCCCATCCAACCTGGCCACCTCTAGGAAGGGGATGTCCACAACATCCCTGGGCAACATGCCCCCTCCCTATCTCCCTTCCACAGCAAAGGGCATGTGATGCCACCCAGCCACAGCTTGATTTTTGTTTTTCCTCCCACCCAGTCCCACCATCCCTGGAGGGATTTAAAAACCGTGTAGATGTGGTGCTGAGGGGCATGGTTGAGTGGTGGCCTTGGCAGTGCTGGGTTGACAATTGGACTTGATGATCTTAAAGGTCTTTTCCAACCAAAAGGGTTTGATGATTCTATAATCTGTGAAGCCACCACCAAGTGTCATGGCCAGCATTTGTCAAGTAATTCCTCCTTTTCTCATTATGAGAACAAAGTGAGGGAGTTGTTTTCTTGTGCAGAAGTTCCATGAGCATGTCCTACCCCTGTGCTTCACATTTGGGTGGTGCAAGTGGAAGTTTTCCCACTCCTACAATACAAAACGCTGCAGGAGGTGGTGTTGGAGCTGTGTAGACGTTCCAGACTCCCATTTCACCCAGACAGCATCTCTCTCCCTGTGCACCTGGCCCACAGCCCTGTCCGCCTCGTGTTTTGATGCAAGCCAAAGTCTCACCCTCAGCTTTTCCTCCTGTCTCCTGCAGGTATATCCGAACTATGTACCTGGGGATCCAGAGCCAGAGGCGGAAGGAACACCAGCGGCGTTTCTACTGGGCTATGATGTACGAATATGCAGACGTAAATATGTTGCGCCTCCTGGAAACATTCCTGGAGAGCGCCCCTCAACTGGTGCTACAGCTCTGCATAATGATCCAAAAGAACCGTGCAGAAACATTACCATGTAAGTGGCCCCCTCGTGTGTCCCCCTCCCCATCCTCCCAGCCTCCCCTCTCTGGTCCTCTGCTCAGCTGCTGGTGGCGGCGTCGCGAACCGCCCGTCCTACGCAACCTGGTGTGTCAGGGGCTGCCACTTGGGACAAATCTCATTCCAGCTCCACACTGCGTCTGCTGGGTAAAATTTCTGCTCGTTCTGCTGAGAAAAAACCCCACACACTGTCTGTGAAAATATGAGATTTCAGCTCTTCCACACCCAGTCCAGTCTAAAGAAATGATGGTGTTATCCGGAGGGGGTAGGCAATCTCTGCTGCTATGGCAAGTGTCACCATTTGCTTGCCACATGGAGCTGGGCAAACACAATCCTTCTCTGCCTCAGTTTCCCTCCTTACTTAAGCAGGATGATAAAACTGGCCAGATTTTAATTTGTGTTGTAGGGACAAAAGCTTCAATGCCTGTCCAGTGCTCTGGTGGTGTGAAGTGTAGGATAAGGAATTTGGTTTTATAGATAAAAGCTGCAAGACCTTTTCCAAAGAGTGCTCAGGAATCAGGACGTGGTCAATGGCTCTGTGATTCTCAGCAAGTCCAAGAAAAGAGAGGGGAGAAGGCAGTGGAGCACATTGTGTAGGGACAGAGATCTTGTAGTGCAGGTATCTGCAAAGGTAGATAGCTGAGCAGAGGTTTGGAAGTGACCACAAAGAGTTTGCCAGTTCTGACGTGCTTTGCTGTAGTGATGTCCTGGAGCATGGGGCATCCACCCCAGTCAAGAGGCATCTGCCCCTGTCCCAGCCCTGGGATGAGCAGCTCTACCAGCCTATGCCAATGGGTATGCTGGCTGCCTAAGAGTCACCAGCTTGAGGAATAATTGTCCTTTACAAGGACCAACTGCAGCATCAGCTGCTGAGCTGCTGGGTTATTCAGCCTGTTCTCAAACCGCACACCAGGAATGACACTTGGATTATGCTTCCCAAAGACAGGCAGTTTGTGGCATGCCATTTCTGGCAGACCATGCTATTTCAAGACCAGGTTGGATGGGGCTTTGAGCAACTGGTCTATTGGGACGTGTCTGCCCATACAGGGGGGGTTGGAACTAGATGATCCTTAAGATCCCTTCTGCCCCGACTATTCTGTGACTCTATGACCTCTGGAGTTTCTCAGAGATGGGATTGGAACTTGGCAGTTCTTCAGGGTTAAGTTTTGCTGGTTGGACCAAGATCACTGCTACCTAGAGCATCAGGAAGTCAAACTGCTCTCCCCTTCCTCCATACTATGGACATGTCCATCAGAGTTGTTTATAGAGGCCTCCCTTTTCCTGTTTATGCAGCCTATTTCTGAAACCTCTCATCACGAGCTCTCCAGGCCTCCAAAATGCTGACACGATGAACATGCATTTCTGCAACTCCTGCTAGCACTGCTCACGTTTGCCAGCACCCTTTTCCTGCTGCTTCCAACGTTACGAACCCTACTATAAGATGTATAAATCCTAACCTAAGAGGCTTGCCAGGGTGTTATGCAGCTTGTTGGTCTCGCTACAGAAAGCACTGGGTGAAGTTTGCTGGCTTCTGTTGTGTGACACGGCCGAGTGATCCCTCTAGGCTTCCAAATCTGCAGCTCTTTTAGTTTGCCACTTCTAGGCATGGCTGCCTAATCCACTGAACAAGCTGCATCATTTTCCAACACTCCCCCCCCCTCCTTCTTCAGCTATGCAGTTCCTCTGTTCCTCCACCACACCAAGCAAGCTGCGCTCTCTTCCAAGGCAGCGCACGTCCCCGCCTGCCTCCTCCAGCCCTGGAGGGCTCTTTGCCTGCCACGCTCCAGCAGCCCAGCTCTCAGGGTCCCCAGTGAACCTTCTCCCTGCCTTCCCCCTCCCAGCCCATGCCAGAGATGTGCCTGCAGATCTTGGGATGCTGATGGATACAAGCAGCAGAGCTTGCTCAGCGCTTCTGACTCAGGTGCAAGGTCTCCTACAGCTCCTCCATGCCCCTTCTGTCTTCCTCCCAGCCTGTACGTAATTATGTGCAAGGAAATTAAATGCTGAGAGGTGCCGTTATGAAAAGGAGCATCAAAGATTTCCCTTAAAGCAGGCAGCAACCGAAGGAAGATGGATGTTGTTAGGAAGGCAGTATGTTTAAAAATCAGCTCCAGTCTCTCCTGACTCCTCGTGTCTGGGTGAACGTGGCTCCTCAGGCTGTACAGGGAGAGGCCAGTTCTGCCTCTGAACAGGGACAGTATCAGCTGTGTCACTGAGGAACACAAGGTAGCCCACAACAGTGCTTATAAACCCAAATACATCCTGTGCTGATATATCCAGAGTCCTTCTGTATGGTTCACACAGTCAGTAAAGGATTCTCAGCCCTCATGAGACCTCCCCAGCTGTGCTGGGTCCAGCTCTGGCGTCACCAGCACAAGAAGGACATGGAGCTGTTTTTTCTTCTCCAGAGGAGGCCACGAAGATGGTCAGAGGGCTGGAGCAGTTCTGCTGTGGAGACAGGCTGAGAGAGTTGGGGTTGTTCCATCTGGAGAAGGAAAGGTTGCAGAAGGGCAGATTTTAGAGCACCTTCCAGTATCTGAAGTGACTACAGGAAAGCTGGGGAGGGACTTCTGATAAGGGCAGGGAGTGATAGGATGAGGAGGAACAGTTTCAAGCTGCAAGAGGAGAGGTTGAGATGAGATATTAGGAAGAAAATCTTTACTGTGAGGGTGGTGAGACATTGGAACAGGTTGCCCAGGGAAGTTGTGGCTGCCCCATCCCTGGCAGTGTTCAAGGCCAATTTGGATGGGGCTTGGAGCAACCTGTTGTAGTGGGAGGTGTCCCTGATAATGACAGGATGATTGGAACTAGATGGTATTTAAAGGTTCCTTCCAACCTAAACCATTCCATGATTCTTCTAGTGCAACAGCAAGGTCCATATGTCATTTTATATGGCATACATCCCTCTTCCAAGCTTCAGTCCTCCCAGCTCTCAAGACTGCAATGCCAAGCCCAGTGCAGGAAACCAAGGCAGGCTCCAGTTTTCTCCCAGTGGGTCAGCTAATGTCTCCTTCTCCTATTTAAGGAGCTGTAGAAAGAAAGTTACTGGAATGGCCAGCACAACATTTGCTTTTTTCTCCTAGTTCCCATGTCAAGATAGCTGTTGAGACAGGAAGAGTGGATATACTGGAGGTCTTTACCCAAGCCCAGAGCATCTCCTCCAGAATTGTTTAGGAGCATGGTGACAGAAAGGGCCTATTGTGGTTGCAGTGCATGGAGCAGCACTGTGAGGACTCGAAGGGGATGCAGTCAGGCTGGTGCTTAATTTCCTGGTTTCCACATCTATTGGGTAGATTGAAAAAGCCTCACCATGCCTTGCAAGAGCCATTTCACCCTGAGAGGCACCTGGGTGGAGGGTTAGGTGGAACATGAGTTTATAGTTTATAGTGCTCAAAGAATGGACCAGGTTCACCAGTGGGTCATTGCTCACCCAAGAGTTAATATCTCCTATATGATCTGACACCCCTAGCAGCAGAAGTGCTAGAGCTGGAATTTGAGGTCAAGTCTCACTCCACTAAAGCTTGGGACAACCCCTCCTGAGATTTCATGAAGGTCAAGATTCATTGCTTTATCATATCCCTAGTACAAGATAGACCAGGTCCTAGCTTAGTTGCCATCACCCAATGACTTGGGAAGAGCAGAAAATAGCACAGAGAAGACAAGTAGGAACTCGTTGTACTCTGGATGGTGCATGCTGGGAGCCTGAGCTGAACTACCTTGTGCTGGGACAAATGGTTGACACCAGCTCCTGGGTATGCATGTGGAAGAAGTTAGTGTTGGTACACAGGCCTGTTGTGAGGATTCATCAGCTACAACCACAGGTATATGGGTCCAAACAGAGTCAGTGGAAGGTGAGGGAGGAAGGATGCCTCCAAAACATGGATCAACCCACATCCAAATAAGCTGGAGGAGGTAAGATGAGATGCTTGCCCTCCAGCAGTGTCTTTCTCCATGGAATCTAGCAGAACCTTGGTGATGAATTTGGGCATAGAATCACAGAATCACAGAATGGTTTGGGTTGGAAGGGACCTTAGGTATTATCTAGTTCCAACCCTCTGCCATGGGGAGAGACACCTTTCACTACACCACATAGGCAAAAGGAGGTGGTGGGACTCTGAAGAGGATACAGCCCTGTCCCTTACTCACCTTAACTCTCTCCAAGATTTAGGAGGGGAAGGGATTAAATGGTGGCCATCTCTCTCAGCACTGGCCAGAGGACTTCCCTGATTTAAATAACATGGCGTATTTCTAGGGGAAAACATAATATTAACTATAACAAAAAAAGCCCAGCAACCCAACTCTTCATTTCCTAGTCACTCCTAGTAGGTAATCCACCTCACTCCTTGCCAAATAAACTATCCTTAACCCACTTCACCCTGCAGAGATGCCTGCTCCTCTGCACTGAATGGAAGGAGCACATACAACCAGCTTAAAGGAGACACCCAACTTCTAGACAGTTAGTGAGGTGAGAGAGATTCTGTTTTTTCAGCATAAATCTCCTCTTAAAGAGGTTACCTTCTATTTAATTTTTAATGTGGCTACTTTAAGACTTAATGAGATTTAGCAGAACCTCTGACATCCTTCCACTCATATCACGAGTGGTTTATGCAAGGCTTTTGCTGGGAATTTGCCTGCCTGCACCTGAAGTTTTCAGAACAGGGTTCCTCCCCACAAAAAGGACTGTCTATCCACTGGTGCTGTGCCCATCTCCTCCATAACTCTGCTGTTGATCTGAAAGAGATTTGCAGCCTAAGCCTTCATTATGCAAAGTCTTGTTGAAATCTCAGGGATTTTGTGAGGTCTCAGCACTCTCTGCAGCCCACAATGAGTAGTCTGGAGCTGCTGGTATATACAAGAAAAAGCAACATTAGCTTCAGCCTGTCTGGGGTGTCACTTTTTTTAAGCAGAATGATCCAAGTTAGGCACAAAAGGTGATTGTAGACATCTCCACTGGAGATGTGTTGGCTGAGAAGTTAT